TGTGTGTGTGTGAGAGAGAGAGAGAGAGAGAGAGAGAGAGACCCTTGTCTGGTAGGGTCTCTACCTACTTTCGTAATGTCATTTTTTCACAAGTACTACAAACACCCCTTCCCGCATTCTCCATGTGTGACCAGTATCCATCATAGAAGGGAGTGGTCATAAGTCTTTGCCATGGAGTCAGACACCTCTTGTATTAGTGTCCATTGCTGCATAACAATTACCCCAAAACTTCACAGCTTTATGCAACAAGCGTCTGTCATCTCATGGTCTCCACGAGTCAGGAATCCGGGACAGCAGAGCTGGGTCCTCTGCTTCAGAGTCTCTCCCAGGCTGCATTCAAGGTACCAGCCAGGGTCACGGTCGTCCTGTGGCTCCCCTGGGGAAGGATCAGCTTCCAGGCTCAGAGTCAAGCAGTGGTGGTGGCTCGATTCGGTTCCTTGTGGGCTGTGGGGCCAAGGGCTTCAGTTCCTCTCTGGAAGCTACCCCAGCTTCCTTGTCTCACTGGCTTTATCAGAGCGAGCAGGTGAGAAGCACGAGATAGAATGCAGGTGAGACGGAAGGCACGGTCTTCTGGAGCCTAATCTCAGAAGTGACATCCCATCATCTTTACTGTATTCTGTTGGTCTGAAGCGAATCACGGAGTACAGCTGCCCCCCAACGAGAGGGAACTGACTACACAGGTGTGAATCCCAGGAGAAGGTCACTGGGACTCATAACAGAAGTCAGCCTACCACATCCCTGAAGTTCAATTCCAGCCTCACTGCTTAGCAGCTGTGTGCCCTTGGGCTGGTGGCTCTCCCTGGTCCGTGAGCTGTCATGAGACCTGTACGTAAAGCACATCAGCAGTGCCCGGCACAGCATTTGTGCGCAGTGAGGGATCGCTGCCTGTACTCCCCACCTGAATACATCCACCTAGACTTGGCCTGGCTGCTTCCTTTTTCCACAGCTCACGCTGAACACCAAGTGCTGGGCTAAGAGATGCCCTCTCCCATCCAGAGCCGCCTCTACCACGTGCAGGTTAGCGGCTGTGGTTGTGGGAGCCCTTGTCCCTGCCCTCCCTCTTCCCACCTGCTCTGAGTCTTGGAGCAGGACTTGGGAAGGCTGGATGGAGCTCAGGGGGAGGGGAGGGCAGCCCATCCGGCCCCAAGGGCTCCAACGGTTAGTGACCCGGCGCCACCTGCCTTCCCCACTGACCATAAACCCACTGCCCAGCCCAGAAGGAGCCCCTCCTTGCCCTCCCTCTGCAGGGGCTCACCCTTCTCTCCAGATGCCGGAAGCAGGCCCAGGATTATGACCTCCTCCAGCTAGTTCTCTGGGCTAACGTGTGTCCTTTGTACCTCTTTATTTGGCACTAGGTTCCATCCGCCTAGTTCTTTGAGGGGTAGAGTGCGGACTCCTGGAGGGCAGGGGCCAGGTCTTCACCATCCTGGTATCTCCAGAATCTTCCACGTGACCTGGGAAGGCGTTCCTTGGTCAGCTGCATTTATAGAGTCCCTACTCTGTGCAGGCTTTAGGGCTGGGCCGTGGGAACACAACAACAGTTGCTGCCCTCATAACGTTTACCACCCAGAGGGCAGGGCAAATGGTAATGAGCAGAAGAGTAGTTCTCAAAGTGGGGCCCAGGGAACCCCTGGTGTTCCCTTTCATTTTCTTCTGCTTTCAATTTCTGATACACTAACCGTAAACAGATTTGACCTGCGATCTACAGAAGCTCTTTGAGATCCTGAGTGAGTTTTAAGACCATACAGGGGTCTTGACCAAATGAGAATTACTGACGTGGGAGTGCCTCGGTAAATGTTTTTTGAACGAAGAATTGAAAAGCTGCTCATTTCCTGTTCGCCTGACTCAAGTCTTGAGCTTCACGCAAACAGGGATCGTATTGCTTTCTGCCTAAGTTCCTCCTTTTTCTGGGGGACACAGAGAAGTCTCGTTCATTTGTTGAGCGGACCTTTACTAAGCATCTGCCAGCCACAGGCTCAGAACCGTGTTGGGATCGTGGCCCCCTGCGCCTCCAGAAGCCCCTTCATCCGGTGAACAAGACAGAGGGGTTTGCAGATCATCCCAGCGGCGTGAGTGCGGGCCGCGAGAGAGGTCGTCCCCCAGAGGGACCAGGAAGGAGGATGCAGGAGCACGTAGCTATGCAGGAGACGTAGTGAAGGGGTGGAGGACAGGGAGCGTCGCACAGGGGAGGTGGGATTGCTTGGGTTGAGTCTTCCGTAGGAAGTGGGTGTCCACCAGCTGATAGGGATGGGGAGGGCCTCCCAGACGGACATCACGGCTTGCCCAGAGGCTTAGCAATATGAATAAACTCTGCATTGCAGGTCAGCCAGTGTGTCAGCGACATTGGGTCCCCGGGGCTGGGGAGTGACGGGGATGAAGGAGGGAAGGCACTCCCTGGGTGGGAGTCTAGAGAAGCTGCTGGACGCGCTGAGCCCTAGGTCCTGCCCTTCTGACCATGTTGAGAGTCCAGGCACAGCCTTCAAGGCTCTGTGTGGTCTGCTCACCTCCCGCCACCCACCCCCCTGCACTCTTCCACTGTAGCCACATTGGCCGCCCTCCAGGGCCTCAGTGCCTTCCCACCTCAGGAGCTTTACGCGGCTGTTCCCTTCACCTGGAACGTTCTATCCCCACCCCCCTCTCTTCACCCAGGCAACTCCTAAACATCCTTCAGTCCTTAACACCAGTGTGCCCACCTCCAGGAAGCCTTCCTGGACTACCCCGTGGATCAGACCAGTGCCCGTTGCATAGAGCATCATGGAGCTCCTCTTTAGAGCACTGTTCACAGTTCAGCACCTAAGGATGCTATGTGCTAGGAATGGGTTTGCAAGACGCTTAAGCCTGGCATGGAGAGACAGATAATAAACAGTAAACAGTTCTAGTGTAAGAATAACCATTACTGTGTACTAGCCACCACTTATAGAACACTTACTGTTTGTTAGGCATTGTTCTAAGTACCTTTTTTTTTTTTTAATTTTTTAATGTTTGTTTTTGAGAGAGAGAGACAGCAGGGGAGGGGCAGAGAGAAAGGGAGACACAGAATCCAAAGCAGCCTCCAGGCTCTGTACTGTCAGCACAGAGCCCGACGCGGGGCTTGAGCCCACAAGTCTGAGATCATGGCTGGAGCGAGGTCGGACACTCAACAAACTGAGCTACCCAGGTGCCTCGCCTTTTTTTTTTTTTTTTAAGTTTATTTATTTGTTTTGAGAGAGAGAGCAAGCAGGGGAGGGGCAGAGAGAGAGAGAGAGAGAATCCCAAGCAGGCTCCTCACTGTCAGCGCAGAGCCTGATGCGGGTTTCAACACAAAACTCAAACTCACAAACCGTGAGATCATGACCTGAGCTGAGATCAAGAGTCAGATGCTCAACCAACTGAGCTACCCAGGGGCCCCCGTAAGTGCCTTTTCAATTAAAAATTTTTTAAATGTTCATTTATTTTTGAGAGAGAGGAAGCACATGCATGAGTTGGGGAGGGGCAGAGAGAACAAGGGACAGAAGATCTGAAGGGAGTTCTGCACTGACAGCACAGAGCCCGATGCGGGGCTCAAACCCACGAACCGTGAGATTATGACCTGAGCTGAAGTCAGACACTTAACCAGCTGAGCCACTCAGGTGCCCCTAATTTAAATTTTTTTAGCTTTTTAAGAAACACTGTATCTGGATTTTCATATTACCATTTTTAAATTATTTTATTTTAAAATTTTAAAATTGATTTTAAATCAATTTTATTTTGAAAATTTTCAAACTATTAAACTGAAGGACAGTAGAATGAACAACCTTATTACCACATTTGCCTTGATATAAATTTATTCCCCTTAACCAGTTGAGAATAATTTGGTGACATTTTGATTCTTCATCCCAAAACATTTCGGTGATCATCTTTGAAAAACAAGGATGTTCTTTCCCATAACTAATTCCACCATCACACCCAGGAGATTTAAAATTGATGTAAAATATTATCTAACATAAAGTATATATTCAGATTTCTTCAGTTGTCTTCAAAATATCCCGCATAGCTACAGTTCACCCCTCATCCAAGCTCCGGTTGAGTTGTGTATACTGCCTTCAGTTGTTACGTCTGAGCATTTTTAATGTTAATCAGTCTTCCTATGCGTGGACTGATGTTAGGCCCATTTTACAGACGAGAAAACTGAAGCATTGGGAGGTGAAGTCATTTGTCCAAGTTGTATGGCCAGAAAGTGATGGAACTCATTGATATTTCCAGTCTCCCTGCCTTTCTGTTAACGCCTGAACTCTGTTCTTACCCAGTGGCTAAAGAGATCTTTTAAAAATGCAAATCCTGGGGCGTCTGGCTGGCTCAGTCAGTGGAGTGTACGACTCTTGATCTCAGGGTTGTGGGTTTGAACCCCACATTGGGTGGAGATTGCTTAAAAATAAAATCTTACCAAAAAAAAAAAAAAATAGTAAGTCTTGTTCAGGTCACTCTTCTGCTCAAAGCCCTAGCATGGCTCCCTATTCCTCTCTGAATAAAAGGCAAAGGCCTCATGATGCCCACAGAGCCCTGTGCATTCTGCGTACCCCCCACCCCTGTAGCCTCTCTGACCTCCTCGTTCTCCCTTCCACCCTCCACTCCCAGTGCAGCGCAGCAGGCACTCCTGCCTCAGGACCTTTGTACATGCCATTTCCTCTGCAGGTCGCACTCTTTTCCCAGACATCCTCAGGGCTCAGTCTTCATCTTCCTTCAGGTTTTACCCAAATGGCGGTATTCAGTGAGGGCGCCTCGGCCCACCACACCCAGCACAGCAGCCCTTCCGCGCGCTCTACCCCCCACTCCCGGCCTCTTCATCCCGGCCCTTACCGCTGCCATGCTCTACATTTTGGGGTTCCTTTGGCCAGTTGTCCCCCTCACCAGAGTGCCAGCCCCCCCGGGGCAGGAGTTGCCCGGTTTGCTCACTGCTGTGTCGCCAGCTCCTAGGCCCGAGGCAGGCACTCCGTGGACGCTCGGCGAAGTGTCCCCAGCCGTACCCATTGCTGTCCCCGCAGCACGTGTTCTGTGAGGAGTGCGTCTGCCTCTGGCTGGACCGGGAGCGCACCTGCCCACTCTGCCGCTCCGTGGCCGTGGACACCCTCCGCTGCTGGAAGGACGGGGCCACTTCCGCGCACTTCCAGGTGTATTAGGGCTGAAGACTGAGGCTGCAGCTGACGGATGGCCAGCGTCGCCGGGTCCGGCTCTGGGGACTTCCTGGAACACTGGCCTCGAGCGCTGCCGATCGTGCCTCTCGCCTTTCTCCACCTCTCCCCCCGGAGCCAGGCCCCTGTCCCGCACCTCACCTTCCTCTCCTGTTCTGGGGCTGAGTGCGGGCCTTCTCCCCCTTGGACCCTCCTGACTCAGAGCTGGCCTCCTCCCGGCAGGGTCTCCTGCCCCCTCCAAGTGAAGGAACTGGGATACACAGGTCCTGCCTGTTGTTATTTCTAATTTATGGTGTCCTAATACCTGATGCTGCCAGCTGGGAGGGGCCTGGCGATCCCTGCCCCCCCACCCCCTCCGTGGCTCAGTTCTGCAGATAAGAACCCCTGTGGACCATTTCCCAGATGCGGGCGCTGGGCCCCACCTTATACCTGCAGTAACTCAGTGTACCAGGCACTTCCTGTGAGCTCAGCGTCTGCTCGGATGACCTTGTAACCCTCCCAAAGCCCTGGGGCGGGAGGTACTGTCATTTCCCCTGTTTTACAGATGAGGAAACTGAGGCACAGAGCTCCACGTGGTAACTTTCCCAGGGTCACCCAGCCAGCGATGGCGGACCAAGTTTCCATCCAGGCCTGTCTGGCTTCAGAGCCCACGCTCGCAGCCACCATGCTCACCCGCTCAACGCTGCAGGCGTGGCGCCCAGCAGACGTGGGCTTTTGGGTTTTGTTTTTTAAAGCACCAGAGGTGATTTTGATGCCCATCAGTGGCCCAGGTGCACAGCCCGCTTGACCTGGGCCCCACTGAGGATGCCAACAGTGAGCACTGGCTCTGGAAATCTAGCTGTGGCCGCGTGCATGGAAAGAGTTGGTCTTGAAAATTGCTAATTCGCTGGGCTCTGGCTGGGGCGCTCAGTCACATTTGGGTAACAGGAATGCCTGGCTTTGGTCCCGATGCGGAGATCACTGGGTCTCTACCCCCGTCTTCATTTCTCTCCTCCTCCTTCTGTTCTCACCCTGCCTGTCACTTAAGTCTCTGCTCGTCAACAGCACCCGTGGCCATTGCTTTCTCCCCTAGTAGCCTGCAGAGCAAAATGGTGATCCGTGTTACAGATTTTTCCACAAGCCAGGGTGGTGGCATGGAGCGCCACAGCACTCAGTGCTTCCGGAATCTCTCTACCAGAGCTACTAATCTCTGTAAGAGAACAGCTTCTCCACCTCTGAGACCCTCCCTGCTTTGACTCTGGAAGGAGACGGCACAGGTGATCACTTCGAAGCTACTGGAATCCTGCCTGCCCTTCCCCTCTCCCCACTCTGTTCACTCACCGTCAACCTCAGCACAATGGGCTGGTGCCAGTGGCGTTACGGAGAAATCAGTCTTGTGGCTCGTGAGCAGGTTAGTAACAAAGCCCCGGCAGACATGCTGGGAGACTTTGCTGCCACCTCGCTCTCAGCCAGTAATAAGCCCAGCCCATTGCTCAGAGTCTCAGGACATTTGTCCCCGAGCGCTATCAAGCCAGGACCTCTTCCTGCGCCTGACATCCCTGGCTCTTTCCTGGTTCCCAGCAAGACGTCCCTTCCAGGGCAGCGTGGCATCTTTCAAGCTCTGTTACTATGGCGATGGCTGTGCTGTTACAATCCCACTTGCCTGGATAATCAAGTCGGAAGGGGAAGCGGAGGGAAGCCGGGCTGGGGGGCGGGGGCGGGGATGCGGCTGCTCTGCTCCCCCTGCCTTGAGGAAGAACCAAAGGGAAGCAACAGGAGCTTCTGCGACTGGTTTTTATCAGAAAGCTCACCCTGGCTGCAGATGCCATCAAAGAGACACAAGAAATTGGAGCTGGAGAAGGTTTATTAATGTGCCAGCTTGTGACAGAGCAGGCAGAGCAGAATCCTGATTCCAGACTTGCCATGACTGTGGGAAGTCACCTCGGCCCCCAGTAGCCGTCTCCAGGAGGAAAAAACCTCGTGCGCTTTCTGCTGGCTCTGCGGAAACTAACAATGTTGGACACTGGTGGAGGTGCCAGTGGTTTTGTCAGTTACACTCATGCCACCGAAAGAAAAGAAAAAAGAAAGCCCCACACATCTCTAAATACTGTTCTCCAAATAATGAGCCAGGCCTCTGACCTTATAAACAGGGTCACTTGGGGAGGATGTCAGGGGCAGGTGGAATGATGTAGTTTAGGGTTTTACTTCTTCATTCCCCACCCTCTGGGGAAAAGTTCTCTTCTGGAGGTTTGGTTTGGTTTTTAATTTTTTTTTTTAATGTCTGTTCATTTCAGAGAGACAGAGAGCAAGCGGGGGAGGGGCAGAGAGGGAGGGAGACACAGAATCCGAAGCGGGCTCCAGGCTCTGAGCTGTCAGCACAGAGCCCAACGCGGGGCTCGGACTCACGAACTGCAAGATCATGACCTGAGCCGAAGTCAGATGCTTAACGGGCTGAGCCCCCCAGGCGCCCCTGGAGGTTTTCTTTTGGATGGGAGGATCTAGTTTCTTCCCTAAGGAGAAACAGCAGCCAGTGGAGAGTTTTCCAAACATCAGGCTGCATATGTTCCCCTCCATGGGGTAAAAGCAGCCAAGAGTCGTTGAGAAAGAACGGCTCCATTCTCCATGGCCCATCATGGCTCTGCACTCGTTTGTTAGAAGCAGGGTTAATCGAGTAGCGGGTGGGAGTATCCTGCTCTTAATATTTTATGACTCACTGACTCAGGTTTCTGACACTCTTGGAAATGGCCTTCTTAATGTAAAAGATCTTGAGCATAATAAATGCGAGAATGAGAAGGCAAGCTTTGGACCTGGATGTAACAGGTTCATTACCTTCCTGACAAGAGGATGTGCGCCACACTTGCAGACACCAGGCAACTAAGACTTCAGGTTGGAAAGAAGAAATGTAAAGTGAGTCCCAGAATCTCTTAGTAATTTTGTTCTGGGCTGAACAGAGCCACCTTCAGTGTTTTTAATGTCCCCTTAAGTTCCCTTCTGCCAATAAATATCATCTGTCGATGAAACTTAGGTTCGTGGTCTTGAGTCTCCCAGTTGCCTCTCGAACCCAAGTGGAACTGTTTTGGTGAGAAATGCAGAGAAGCAGTTCATGCAGGGGGTGGTTGTCTTGTGTTGGTTTTTCCCCAAAGCAAATCCGTTGAGTGGCACATGATTTATTAAGGAAGCGCTCCCGGGAGAGACCAGTAATGGAGGGGGAAGAAGCCAAACAAGAGGGTGGCTCTCAGAGAAGCCCCAACTCAGGGTGGCCCCATGGAGTTCTAGAGAATTCAGCTACATTTCGGAGACTGTCCCACTGTGAGTTTGTTTTCTGGCACACTGTCAATCCTTGGCTATGGGTTGTTGGGGTGGGTGCCTGTCAGGGATTCAGGCTCTCCCTTGAGGAGGCCCCAAGCTCCTGAAGGTGTCCGGTGTCACAGGGCACACAAAGGTGCAGGATAGGACACAGGACTGGTAGAAGGGGTCAGAAGGGATCTGGGCAGGGCACCTCCAGGACCCACCACCGTGGTTAACCAGAGGACGGACCCAGAACGTATGAGCTGATGATTCAAGAAGAGTTTGCCTGGGTGCCAGGTTATGATGGGTATTTAAAATGTCAATTAATAGCTTAACCAACTGAGCCACCCAGGCACCCTGTAAATTAATATCATTAGGTGACAATTCATGCTTCTCAGGACATTATGAAACCAGTCACAAAACATCATCAGGCAGAGCTTTTTGGCTGCAGTCATTTGAAAGCCAACTCAAATAGGGCTTAAATAAGAGGCTTTATTTGATTCATGTAACCATATAGGCCTCAGGTATAGCTAGATTCAAGGGCTCCAGTGATATTAGAATCCTGTCTTTCCATCCCTCAATTCTGTTTTCCTCTGAGACAGTTTGATTTTCAGACAGATCCCATGCGGCAGTAAGATGGCCTCCAGAAGCTATGTATATATTTGTGTATATGTGTGTGTGTATATATATATATACACATATATATACGTATATGCATGTGTATGTATGTATACGTATACATATATGTATATGCATATGTATGTATATGCATATGTATACATACAAATATATGCCTATGTTCTACCAGCTTAACAGCCCCAGCAAAGAGCTTCTGCTCCCCCAAAACTCTAGCAGGAATCCTGACTTGTTAATTTGTCCCCAAGCCAATCCCTTTAGCCTTTGGGACTTGGAACACTGCTGGCCAGGCCTAAAAGGGGTGTTGAGCCCTAGCTGTGGGGGCACAGGTGGATGGAAGGATAGTGTCAACTCCTCTGAGTCACACGGCCTGAGGGTGGGGAAGGGGTGGTCCCCCAGGGGCAATGAAAGCATCTATTGTCTGCAAAGACAACCTGTCCTCACCCCACCATTCTTAGGAAGAGACACAACCTGATTGCTCAGAGCATCTTAGACCAGGTAAATGTAGGTGAAAGTAACCCAGAGAGACCCACGTGCCCATAGTAGGAGACATCAGTCTGCACAGCTGTTAGCTTGTCTGCATGGTGCCATTGATCTTGAACCGTCAAGCAAGTTACCTCAACGTCTTGCCCACCCCAAGGGTGCTGTTTGGGCCAGCCCTCCCCTGGGGAGTTCTCAGAAACACAGCAGAGAAGGGAGACATGTGGCCTTCTGCCCCAGGGAAGGTTGGGGTGCGCAGCCAGACCCGCCCATAATCTTTGGGGACCAAACTTTTCACTTAACCGACTGAGCCACCCAGGTGTCTTGAGACCAAACTTTTCAAAAGGAAATGAAAACGCAAAGGACTTTGACTGGAAGTGCACAAACAGTTTTTTAATAAAGTCATTACAAATATGTACAAAGCGTCTCCAAGGTATGAAATTCCTCTTACAAAAGAGCACAACAAACCAGCAAGGTTAGAACCCAGAACGGAATGCTCCCAAGCCTGTTGCCTCTCTGGCTGTGCCCGAGGCCTCACTGAGGGTCCACACACCCCCATGACCATCCCTGCCCCACACACGCACAGGCTCCTGGGCACCTGGGAGGCGGAACTTAAGGGCTCAGGCAGGCAAGGTAAGAAAAGCTTCCCATGTCCCAGGAAGTCAGCTGAACAGGCCGTGTTTGCCAGTGAGATGCTTCTCCCAAGGGCCTAAAGATATTAAGGACAGAAAAGGCAGGAAACAAATATGTAAAACCCCCAACTCAACCATCCCGCCTGGCTTGGAGCATCCCCAAACGTAACACCTCTTACAGTGGACTTAAGTCAGGCTCCCTTGCTCCCTGCTGGACCCCAGGCTGTGCTTGTCTTTGAACTCGAACTCGTAAAGCCAGCTCAGGAGGGAATCCAGTGTGGCAGAGCAATTAGCTTATGGCCTTTGGGGGCGGGGCGAGGGGGGGAGGGAGGATGGAGGAGCAGTCACACAGACCTGAGTCCAGATCTTGGCTCAGCCACCTCATGCTTTGTGTGTGGCCTTAGGCTAAGTTGCAAAACTTCCCTGAGTCTCAGCTTCCTCCGCTGTAAAATGGGAATCGTAACCGCTGTCTTCCAGAGTGGGTGTGAGGAATGACTTAGGGGAAACACGTAAAGCACTCCGCGCGGTGCTCGGGGGTGGTGAGCACGCCATAGATAGTGGCTTTCATTACTGTGTGAAGCAGCAAGCAGCAGCCTTTACATCCTGGGAGTGAGTTAAGATCACAGGCTTCATGATTGCATGATGCCCAGTAAACATAAGTACTATAGAACAATCTGCCAGCAAGGCTTGGGGTCACGGGGATGACCTGACAAATCTGAACCAGACTGGAAAGGGACAGTGAACATTGTCTGGTTCCAAGCAGGGCTGCCCCTCCATGCTCCACACCGAGGTTTCTTCCCAGATCGGATTCTACAACCTGGCACGTCGCAGGTGCTCAATAAGTAGGTACTGAATGGACAAATTAATATTTTAAAAAGAACCTTTTGGTTTGAGCTTTAAAATGATACTTTTGACATCAGCATCCTCCCTCCGCTCCTATGGGACTAGGCCAGGGTGTCTCACCTGTCCCCCATCACCTCCCAAGCAGCTTCGGACTCTGATTGGCCCAGGCTGACTTAAGGAAAGATTCAGAAAAAGAACTGGTATCGACATAGAAGAACAAAACCTGTGTTCTGGTCACTGCAGCTTCTGACATCAGGTGGACACTCAAAACGCCCACAGTGGCTAACCAGTGTCCCCAAAAGATACTTGTGCGGGACCAGAAGAAGACTCCCCCTATTTCCCAACTAGGGGAAGTAATATTTTATCACTGTCAGAAACGTGATAATAGTACATGAGATCAGCTACATAAATTATGAAACCAGTCACAGCTCCATCGTTCTGTGACAGTCTTGTTTAAAATAACCATTTTCTCGTTAAAATAGAAAAGAACTTCTTAAATGAGACACTGGAAGAAGAGGAAAAGAAGTCTCCAGTATCTCAGTGAAGGGGGCCAGGGTGGAGACTGGGTTCCAGGAGATGCTCGTGGCCTAGGACCATGGACAGCAGCTAGAGAGACAACTGGGCTCCCCCCAGAAGCCTGTTACTCAGGCTACATCTATGCCAGAAGGAATGTGAAGTGGAACCCTAAAGTCGAAATGGGGAAAAGAGATCATATTTGCTTACAGGGTCTGGGGCCGGAGAGAGAAGCTTCCAGAAGGGAATGGCTCTCATTTGGAATGGGAATGCTGAAGTCCCAGGAGGCTCCAATCCCTGTGGCTCCTGGACCCCCCACCCTGAGAGCAAACCAGCACCATCAGGAAGGAGGGCCTTCTGTTTGCTCCTCACCTCATTATTCAGCAACCTACCTAAACGATGATCTCAGAGGCCTCCCTCTGCTTTGCACGGACACACATTTGCGCGTGTGTGTGCGCGCGCACACACACACACACTCTGCTGTCTGCTGAAACCCGATATGAGGTCTTTTTTAAAATTTATTTCAAAGTCTCCCTCCCTCTCCCTCTCTTCACAGACGCTCTGCAGTGAAGCTAATCAAAATCAATGACTCCTTGGCAGCCGGAGAAAAGCGGGGGAGAGAGGGAGGGATGGTGCCAGCACTTTGCACACTGTGGAAATATTTAAAAAAAAAATACACCACCCTGCTATCTCATGCAATCCAAGTAATGCAGCCTCAGAGACGGTGGAGACAATATATACATATATATCATGCTTCAATTTCCTAATACAAATGTCCATCAAGAAGTCAAATCTCATATAAAAACAAGCATTAAAAACAACCCCTTGTCAAAAATGGGGGCAGTCGAGAAGTGCACTCAAATTAATGATGTGCAAGAAAAAGCCAGGATTAGATAAATACACAGTTTCTATTAATACAAGAGAATATGTACAAGGGACTTGGCTGTAAAGCTCTATTAGGAGGGTCACAGGCGCCCAGTTCTCTCAGCAGTGCGGCTTCATTGAAATCAAATTTGCCCCAAATACCAACCCCACCATTTGGAGTTTGGATCCTCCAGCAGAAATGTCATAAGCCCGTAGGCAAGTCAGGGTTGAAAAAGGGATCCTCTGACCTTCCCCCTTTCCCCTGTGTCTAGACGGTCAGCATGGCCCCACTGCCGTGTGGAAGGTACAGGCTTCCAGCAGCAGAGAGCCGTGACCACATGCCATTATAGGAACGGAAACCCCCTCCCCAGAAAATGGGGTGAGCTGGAAAGACTCCAGTGTCTGGCTTGGAAAGCGATGATACAGAAGCAGAGACCGTGGTTCATATCATCCTGATGGATTTGCCTTCTCTAAGTTCATGGCTTGGTGGGGATGTGGCGCGCTGCCCTGGGCACACCCCACCTGCACTCCCACACTCTGCAAACACAATTGTGGGGAGGGAAACACAACCATGAGGAGAAGAAGCAAGCTCTCCGTCAACAAGCTTTCCTTCTCAACAAGCTGTCTGGGGGTGGGCTTGGGGGGGACTGCTCTCCCCTTCAGCTGCTTTGGGTTACATTTTTCTTTAAAGGGCCATTTAGGAAAACATAAGGCATGGATAAAAGACAGACAGACAGACAGCTCCCAGCTTGCAACAGCACTAAAAGGTCCTGCATTCTAAAGGACCTGGTAATTTTCAACAAAGCCTCTGGGGAATAATTCAGCCCCACGTCAACTTTAACAACAGCTAATCCCCCTGCTGGCTTCTTGAACTGCAAAGGTGTCTGCTAAGCAGCCCAGTGGACGCCCTCTCTGCAGGCACTGGGTGGTGACCATCTCAGCTCTGCACACAGCAGTCTAGGAGACCCAGCACAGAGGAATAATACCTGGGGGTGGGGTGGGGTGCATTTTTTTAAATGAAAGCAAAAAAAAAAAATAATAATCATCGCTCCCTGAAGAGTCTTTGCAGCCAAGTCTCAGTCCAGCACACATCTTTTTTTAGCCCTTCTAGAAACTTCTGAAAATAGTAGCTTATTCTGGAAAAAAAAAATCAGATCCTCTGTCAGTCACTGAGATGCTGGTGCATTTCGTTTCAACGACCCGCTCCCTCCCCCAGCACCTCTTGCTTATAAATCACCCTTGACCAGAACGTAGCCATTTCTTGGCTCTTTAATCCATAAAACCTAAGCCCTGAAATCCCCCTGGGGAGTGGGGGAGGCTGTGGGCTGAACTCCCAGGGTACTTTTGCGGGGCTAGAGGACAGAGCAAACAAGTCACATATGAGGTCAGCTTTCCACATCGGTAACCAGGGGGCGTAACCATCCCACCATCCCTTCCCTTCCTCCCTCCCGGACCCCAAGGTTTGCTCCAAAAAAAACCTCTGGGTTTTCATCCCCGCAGAGAAAGAGAAGAGACTCTCAAGTGGCACTTTTGCGACTTGTCCCTTTAAAAAAAAATGAATCCGAAACAGCAAAATAGAAATCTCTCCTGTCCCCTGGCCTTGCGGTCTGGCAACAGAACACCGCGGCAGTGCCAGCAAGAGCACGCTTAGCACCAGCAAAATTTAAGTGAAGCACCAGACACCAGATTGGTAGGAAATAAATCCCATCTGTCTTGATGGGCCAGCGGGACTGGCTATCTACCTGGGAAGGTACAGAGAGGCTGGGACTTGTCAAGACTTAGAAATGGAGGAATCCCAGACTCCTCTAACAGAACTGGCCCCTAGTCCACCTCGCTTTTCCTTTTTGCTTTCTGTTTTGCCTTTTGCAGTTTCCCCCTCATTCTGCCAGCATCCCTCCCCGGGTGGTTGGTCGACTCTGGGGCTGATTCCCACCAGTCTTTGCAGATTTTCCAGGCACACAGTACGCACCTCACTTCTGGTGCCCCAGACACGGAAGCATCAAAGTTCACACAGGAAGGCGCAGAAAAGGGAGGGGACCGTGTCCTCGACAAGACATGCACTGAATAGTAATATTCATATTTTCTTTTTTTATATATATAGAGAGAGCTGTATGTAAATAGCATTGGGGTGTCTGTTACTGCAGCTGGATATGCAAAGGGCTTCCCCAGTCCCTTTCTGCCGTTGCTACAATCGCTCCAGGCGCCTCTCCACTTCCTTCTCGAAGCGCCAACTGCGGCCTTTCAAGCTCTGGGCTCCCCCTCAGGAAAACGGGAACCAGCTTTCTCCAAGGACACAGGGTTTTCACCAACCTGCAGAAATAAAGATGTGTATTTCGGTCAGTAGGCACGTGCAGACAGCTGCTGGGGATGACGTCAGTGCCTTGGGCCTCTGCGCAGCCAGCCCTGGATGTCGGAAGGTGGAGGGGGATGGGAGAGAGCGGCGAGAGACAGAGCTGTGATTTGGAGGGGAGGTTCCCCAGAAGCTAGATTTAGCGCCCATCCCCACCCCCACCCCAGCCAAAGCCCTGTCCATACAGCAGCCTTCCCTAAACAAACATTTGAACATACACACACACCCATTTCTGTTTTCAGACATAAGCATCTTCTGTGACCAAAGAAGAGAATATAGGGGCGTTTGGGTGCGTCAGTCAGTTAAGCGCCTGACTTCAGCTCAGGTCATGATCTCACAGCTCATGAGTTCGAGCCCCATATCCAGCTCTGTGCTGACATCTCTGTCATCTGACATCTCTAAGGATTCTGCATCTCATTCTCCCTCTCTGCCTCTTCCCTGCTTATGCACGGTCTCTCTCTGTCTCAAAAAAAAAAAAAAAAAAAGAACATTAAAAAAAGAGAATATCGAATGATGCTGCCTTTTTGCCCTTTTAAATCAGGAACAGGCCCTTCATCTGTTCATTTCATAGATCCATATTCAAGGCAGGCTTTTAGGACAGTCTCTATTCTCATTCATTCATTTGTTCATTCTCATTCATTCATTCGTTCATTGCCAAACATACCAAGAACTACGCTCGGAGTTATAAATCCAGTGACATAGTTCTTGCCTTTCAGGGTCTCTGAAGGCAACAGAAAGAGATGAGAAGAAATTGATACCAATGACAAGTGTCATGTGAAGACCAGTCTGGATAAACATGAGCTAGGGGAGCCTACAAGGGAAAGCGGGAGTCAGAGAGAGCTCTTGAGAGCAGGAGGCAGAGACCCTTCCTGACACTGTAGGATGCTAGGGAATTACCCAGGATAAGATGAGGCATTCTGGGAAGGGCAGCAAAAATAGCACATACCCCAGGGAATCGAAAAACACATTCATCCAAAACCGGGGTGCCTGGGTGGCTCAGTCGGTTGAGCGTCCGACTTCGGCTCAGGTTATGATCTCACGGTTCGTGGGTTCGAGCCCCGCGTCAGGCTCTGTGCTGACAGCTCAGAGCCTGGAGCCTGTTTCAGATTCTGTATCTCCCTCTCTCTCTGACCCTCCCCTGCTCATGCTCTCTCTCTCTCTCTCTCTCTCAGAAATAAATAAAACATTTTTAAAATGTTTAAATAATAAATAATTAATTAAAAAAAAAAACCTTGGACATCAGTGCTCACAGCAGCAGCATCCATAATAGCCAAAAAGTGGAAACAACCCATGTGTCCATCAACTGACAAATACAACAAAGAGTTTCCATCCAGCAAAACATTATTAGGCCGTAAAAAGGAAGTACTGACTCACACGAGAACCTAGGTGAACTTTGAAGTCATTAAGCTCCAATGACTTCAAGCCAAGCCAGGCACAAAAGATCACAAGTTGTATGAGGCCAGGTACAGGACATGTCCACAAGGGACAAGTCTTTAGAGACAGAAGTGGATTAGAGGGTGTCCAGGGCTGTGAGGAGGGAATTGGGGCGTCACTGCTGATGGGGACAGGGTTTCCGTTGGGGAAACGAAAACATTCTAAAATTGATTGTGGGATTGGTCGCACAACTCTGGAAGTATAAAGTATCATAACCATGGCGTTGAGCCCTTCAAAAGGATGGATTTTTCTGGCAGGGGAATTTCATTGGAAGAAGGAGAAAGAGGGAGCAGAGGAAGGGGATGGAGAGGTGGCGAGCAAGAAGGGAAGAGGCAGGACAAGGGAGAGAACACGGCAGTAAAATACCCTGAGGTCAATCGAGGAGCCTGATGAGGTTTCAGCAAAGCCTGGCTGATGGGGCCGGGGAGGGGTGAGGCTGGAGAGTTAGCGGAGGCTGTAAGTTTGAGGAGGACAGCACATTACTCCAAAGCAGGTGGCAGAAGTGCCACGGTGAGCAGTGAGAGTCCAGCGGCGTAGGAGACAAAGTGGGAGAGAGATCACTTTCTCCGTCAGCAGAATCTGGCATGTTGATCTGTACAAACTGCACCAGCAGGTTTCCTTGGGGGGTCTAGTCCACAGAAGGGTCTAGTCCACGGAAGGGTCTAGTCTATGGAAGGGTCTAGTCCATAGAAAGGTCTAGTCTACAGAAGAGTCTAGTCCATAGAAGGGTCTAGTCCACAGAAGGGTCTAGTCCATAGAAGGGTCTAGTCCGAATGGGGTACAAGACCTGGGTACATATTCCCTGGCTCCCACTCTGTCATGGTCACAGCGCCTGCCAGGCTCAGCTCTCCGGCTGGGCTCCAGGTTCCTCTTCGGGCTCCCAGTCCTCCTCCCTCACCTCAGCCCTTCCGGCCAGGGCGGGATGGCTCTCCTCTGTGGCCAGCCCTGTGGCACTCGGTTTGCTAAACCCTGTCTACACTCCGTCACCAAACCTTCACTAACTACTTCTCTGGTTACCCCGCCTGGGCGTATTCCCTGCCTCCTACTTGGACTCTTACTCGATATATATGACGGCATGAATGAAGGGACTCCTAATCCCATGGACCCTACAGTCTACGTTGGCTGACAGTCATCCAAGTCAGTAACCTCAGTCCTTTTGCCCTGATCTGCTCAGGTGGAAGCAGAGGTGCCCTGTGACCCCGAACCTGCATTTCCCCTTCATCCCATGAGGGCAGAGCACAGCAGCACCTCTGCATTACTGCGTTGCCACCCCTCGTGTTCCTGGGGTGCTGAGTCGATCAGTCATCCACCAACTCAGTTTGACAAACATGCTCAATTTATAAAAACTCGCTTTGTTGGCTCCTGGTCACACCGATCTTCAAAAACTCGGTGGAACCATCCAGCATTAGCTTAAGAGGATGATGATGCCTTTAGCACGCGCAAAAAGGAAAGCTGGAGGCAGAGAAAGGAGCCGCATCTATGTGCGACCACGAGTGTTGACTTTATGCGAAGCATTGTTCTGGGCACTAGATGAGGCTGGTACCTGCCCTCGATTTGCCTCCTGTCTTTTTCTGGGAGACGGGGTACGTCAGAGGCTGAAACTATGGAAGATCATTGTCCACGGGTGTAGATGTAACTCAGAAGTCAGGGTGTGGCTGTGCTCACCGGGGAAGCTTCAGAGAGGAAGCAAGATTTGAACTGGACCTTTAAGATATGCATTCATGGGGCGCCTGGGTGGCTTAGTCAGTTAAGCGTCTGACTTTCACTTAGGTCGTGATCTCGCGGTTCGTGGGTTCGAGCCCCGCGTCGGGCTCTGTGCTGATGCCAGCTCAGAGCCTGGAGCCTGTTTCAGTCTGTGACTCCCTCCCTCTCTGACCCTCCCCTGCTCACGCTGTCTCTCTCTCTCTCTCTCTCTCTCTCTCCTAGAAATAAATAAAACATTAAAAAAAATATGCATTCATATTTTTTCAATATTTGGAAGAAGGAGGGGTTGCCCAGGTGGCTCAGTTGGTTAAGCGTCTGACTCTTGATTTCAGCTCAGGTCATGATCTCATGGTTTGGGGGTTTGAGCCCCACATTGGGCTCCTCTGCTGGGCATGAAGCCTGCCTAAGATTCTCTCTCCCTCTCCCTCTGCCCCTCCTCTGCTCAAGCTCTCTCTCTCAAAAACAATACTAATTGGGAAAAGGAAGGATCATGGACATGGAGAAAGGGCCAGAGTAGAGCACAATGGCAGAGACACATATGGCTCAATCCAGGGGACCTGCACCCCAAAGTTGTGCAGGGTGAGGCTGCGTTGACATGTCCACTGAAAGTGATGAAGGGCACATAAACATGGCATCAGGAGAGGTAAGAAAACCATTTTTACGGCACTAATCTGCTCCATCCACAGAAGGAATGGCATTTTCTTGCAAAACTAGGTAGGACCCAGCAAAGGATTTTCGCTTTTCCTACCTGTAAGTCATTAAGCCCATAACGTGTCTTCCTACGGGCCTCCCCGCACACTTAAGTGGACAGATTCCCACACCTGCCTACATACTGGTTGCAGGCTGGTGTCCGTAGTGACAGATGGACATCAGAAGGATGCCTCTGCACGGCCAGTGGTGCTGTGTCACCACGTCCCACCCTCCGAGAGGGGGCCCGTGCATACACTTCTGAGAACCTTAAAAGGGACATGATATGGCTAGGGCTCTAGCACACGGAAGTAGTCACCTAAATATGGTCAGGGGTGTTCCCTCCAGCTTGTTCCTAATAACAGCAGTTTGGAAACAACCCACATATCCATCAGTAGGAGACTGGATTAGCACATTAAGCTCCATGCAGACTAGAAGGAAGTAGATCGAAGTGTGTTACAATTCTTTTTTTAATTTTTTTTTTTTCAGTTTATTTATTTTTGAGAGAGACAGACACAGTGTGAGCAGGGGAGGGCCAGAGAGGGAGAGAGAGAGACAGAGAATCCCAAGCAGGGTCTACACTTTCAGCACAGAGCCTGGCGTGGGGCTCAAACTCACAAAACTGTGAGATTATGACCCAAGCCGAAACTGAAATCTGACAGTTAATGACACTTAACCAACTGAGGCACCCAGGCGCCCTGAAGTATGTTACGACTCTTTTTTTTTTTAATTTACATCGAAGTTAGTTAGCACTTAGTGCAACAATGATTTCAGGAGTAGATTCCTGAATGCCCCTCACCCATGTAGCCCATCCCCCCTCCCACAACCCCTCCAGCAACCCTCTGTTTGCTCTCCATATTTAAGTCTCTTATGTTTTGTCCCCCTCCCTGTTTTTATATTATTTTTGCTTCCTTTCCCTTATGTTCATCTGTTTTGTATCTTAAATTTCTCATATGAGTGAAGTCATATGATATTTGTCTTTCTCTGACTAATTTCACTTAGCATAATACCCTCTAGTTCTATCCACATAGTTGCAAATAGCAAGATTTCATTCGATTGCCAAGTAATACTCCATTGTATATATATACAATGTCCGTCGATGGACATTTGGGCTCTTTCCATACTTCAGCGATTG